CGTTACTGAGTAAAGAGCAAAATATGATTATAAAGAAAACAGACAATTGCATTTTAATTTTTGAAGATCGTAATGGAGAAAAAATAAGGTGCTGGAAAAGAATTTCTTTGTCGGAATGTCCGGGAAAAGAAACTGTTAGAAAGGATTCTTTCAACGGTAAAATGATGAAACCTCACTGCAATCTAGTACTGTGCTTACATTCACATCGATATACCAAGAAGAAAAACCCATTAGAAAAATTATCATGTTGAGAAACAGATGTCACAAAAACTTGAAATGTTGCCAAAATATATTTGAAACCAAAAATTTATCAAGTTAAAAAAATTGTTAGAAATTTAATAACAATATAAAAACATCATATAACACCAACACGAAATTCAAGGAAGAAAAAATAATTTATTCGCTAGAATTTAGTGGTTTAAGATTTAACTCTTAAGAATTGTATAGTAGACATTTTGAGTAGAAATAATATATTTTTGAATTTATTTTTCGTATTACTGTATATTGCGTAATCTATAGTAATACGAAAAATAAAATGAAAAATATATGATTTCTGCTCAGAATGCCTATTGTACAACTCTAGAGCTCTTGAAACTTTAGATCCCGAATATACAACAACACTAATATTAAAATAATAAGTGTCCACTCTAATATATTAATTCGCTTTAAATTACAGAAGACAAAACTATAATGCTATAAGTCGTAATTACTTATATCTATCTATCTATCTATCTATCTATCTATCTATCTATCTATCTTTCTCTTTTCTCTCTCTCTTATATATATATATATATATATATATATATATATATATATATATATATATATATATATATATATATATATATATATATATATATATATATATATATATATATATATATAGTATTTAAAAAGATTCAGAATTACCGTATATCGGTTATAGAGCTATTTAACCGAGGAAAACTTCGTTTTATTCAAACCCGGTATATTATTTCTAATTCTGACAGGAACTCTGTCGATATGCCGGGGTTGAATAAGACTGACGAAGTTTTCGTCGGTTGAAATTGGCCTATAACCTCTATATATATATATATATATATATATATATATATATATATATATATATATATATATGTGTGTGTGTGTGTGTGTGTGTGTCTCTCTCTCTCTCTCTCTCTCTCTCTCTTTATATATATATATATATATATGTGTGTGTGTGTGTGTGTGTGTTTCTCTCTCTCTCTCTCTCTTCTAGTTCTCTCTCTATTTCTAATTGGATCGTGATTACGATTCCAATGGAATGAATTATACCCATGGAATATTAGTGTTTGAGACTATATTATATATATATATATATATATATATATATATATATATATATATAAAAAAAAAGAAGAAAAAGCTTGAACGTTGTTGGTTATAATGTGTATTTTTTTAAATATCTATTCTGCTTTATTTTTCACAAATTTGCAACACGTTTTTCGGGTCACGCGACCTTCTTCAGGCAAAGAGTGGATATTTCCACATATTATTAAAAATGAATTAGTTTTCCTTGAGCTTTTCGATGTTAAACATTATCGATTTAAAACATTTTCCTTGTGTTGTAGTGACACAAATGTCTTTCTTGAACTGTCAGTGAAAAAGCTATCCTGCTTGAAGTGCAACAAATAAGATTGGTCCGAGAAAGGGGGAGGAAAGATATCAGTGTTCTTATTTTTTAATGACACCAGTATGTTCTTAGATCTATTTCCATTTTTTGTATTGTGTGTTTTTGTTAGTATGCGTATGTATACGTATATTCCCTCTCCACACATGCATACTGTCTTATTATAAGGAAGAATTAGTGTACACATATATACACACATACATGCCTACACACACACACACACACACACACACACACACACACACACACACACACATATATATATATATATATATATATATATATATACATGTATGGAAAATAAAGCATAATATATTTTAAAAAAAATACATTACAACAAAAATGTTTTGCAGTTTCTCTCTTTTGAATATATACACTTTTCTCTCGTTGGAATAACTATAACCTCTTCCTTTATATATATATATATATATATATATATATATATATATATATATATATATATATATTTATATTTTATTTTATATATATATATATATATATATATATATATATATATATAAATCAAAATATTATATATATATATATACATACACACACACACATACACACACACACACATATATATATATAAATCAAAATATTATATATATATATATATACAACAGTTGTTTACACACACATATATATATATATATATATATATATATATATATATATATATAATTCAAAATCATTGCATCAGATGCCATATGTGAGATACGCTTGGACGATCATGATTCTTTCGATCCATGAATAACTACGTAGAATATTTTCCCGCAGGAGGTTGCCATTTCTTTTTTTTTCCGTAAACTGGTTTAAAATCAAGGCTATAGAATCCAGTCTGTCTCGCTTTTCAAACTGGAGCAAGAAGAGATGTATTCATAGCTTTCTTAAGGGTATTTGCGCGTAAGTGAATTTAAAGCACCCGACTAGATTTCGAAGTCAGCATTCCGATTAATCATTCAGACTTCTTAACTGTTAGACCACAACATCCAGAGTACTTAAACTCTTGGTAATATAGGGATATAAAACTCCTGATTACGAATCTAATTTTTGTTTTCATTTAATTTATTTCATCGTAAGCTTACACACTGCAGCCCTATCAACTAAAAATTCATCTCGGATAAAATTTAACCAGGCCAAGATGATTATAAATTCAAGTCTCTCTTTTCCCAGATTCCTTGCTCTATCAATGATAGAGACACAAGTTTGTGCTGCTATTTAATTTCATAACTGGTGGAAAGTTTTAAATAACATTTTTCCAAAGGTATTATTACAAAACTGAATTAAACAAAACCAGACGGAATTTGAACTCGGCTCGTCGTCCTTACTATCCGCGCCGATGACAATTGCACTACCTGCACACCCACAAATGACATTGTTATCGATAATTGTTTCACAGATCATTGCACTGAAGATTCAAAGAATTATCAAATTAGTGATGGCAACTTTCCTGATGCATGATGACAAGGCTTAATTATTTATGTGACGCTGCGTCATATTTCAGTCGTTTCCCAAGCCAAATATGCAGAATTAATGGCACTGATTTCTCGGCATTATGAAGAATACTGAAATCTAGAACGGATAAATTAACATCTCCGAACATTATTTTATAATCTTAAGAGGGCACTTCAACGTGGTGTAATGATTAGCAAGCATGTATTGCCATATCAATTACGACTGTAGTAATGAGTTCGTTCCTCACTGGGTGCTTCACACTTACGTCTTTGTACCACATCTAAGCTATGCTTAGAAAAACATTTGGGGTACCTCGAGGAGGTGTTTCGTTAGATCAATTACGACTGGGTGGTGGATTCGATCCTCACCGGATGCGACATACTTTCGGCCTTGTGCCACATCTAACTTAGGCTTGGAAAATGAAACTTACGCTTAAAAGGGCACTTCAACGTGCTGTAATGATTCGCAAGCTTGTCTTGCTCGATCTATCACGACTGAATAGTGAGTTCGATACTCACTGTTTGCTCCATACTTTCACCTTTGTACCACAAGTAAGCTATGGTTAGAAAATCATTTAGGGCACCTCGAGTTAGTGTAATGGTTCGCTATCTTCTCTCGCTAGATCAATTACGATTGGCCATTGAGTTCGATGCTCAATGGGCGTCACATACTTTCGGCCTTGTGCCACATCTAAGCTACGCTAGGAAGATAACTTATTTTATTATCTTAATGAATAAAGAAATCGAAAACAGACAGGTATAACAGATAACATTTTGATAGTATATAAGTAAGTTAAAAAATTATATTTGCATTTATTTGCACGACTAGTAATATGTAAATTTGTTTAACACACACACACACACATAACTATATTAAGACAGATTTCGTTAGGTAATTTAGACATGTTCTGTCTACTTATTCTTGATGAGATCCTTTCATATTCAGGGATAAGCTTTTTAGTTTGGTTATTGAAAGTGGAGAGGAAAATGCCGTGCTGGTTGATATTGTATTTATTCTCCGAGTACTTTCGACATAGCATAATGACATCGTCAGAGTATTGCTAATCATAAAAAATAAAAATAAAAAAACTTATCGATGAATATGAAAGGATCCTATCGAGTATAAGTAGACAGGACAATTATTTAATGAAACCTGTTTTAATGAAAATAACCTTGCTGAAATATATATATATATATATATATATATATATATATATATATATCATTTTATAGGAACAGTGTAAAACGTCCATGATAGAATTTTCTCTCAATGTTTTGAATTGGGGGTTGGTTGCTCTGGATCGATTTCTGTAGAGATTTCCTGTTTTCATGGAAGCAAAGAGCTATGAAAAGAATAGAGACCTATACGCCATAGAGGATATAGAAAGACGCAGATGCAGAACGGTTCATGACTCTATAATATTGTTTTCTAAATTCGGGTCTATGTGCATAGTGTTTGAAATGTTCTTTTTTTAATGTAATAAGCTGTGAAAATATTCATGATGGAAAAGTCAAAATAGCAAAGTTTAGTTTTATTCTGAAGAAAAAAAATATTTATACTATTTAAATTGTCCAGATTGTTGTCCTCATCGTTATTGTCGTTTCCGGTGTTGTACGCTCCGGTCTTCTTCACGTGATATACTTTGGAATTTCGAACCGAACTCCTAATTCCATCTACTTGGGTAGACTACTCTAGTTCCAGGTGTCATGCCCCTTTTAGACATCTCAGCTTCAGCTACTTCCTCTTAGCAACTCAACTCTCCGAGCTTTCAATCACATTCCAATCACATCTAAACACAACTCCTCGTTTCAAATCACTTCACCACTTCAAACTTGGAAAAAATTCAAGGACACATTGCTCAGTGGATACTTCAAACAACGCCTTTTGTTAAAAGAGCTATCTATCTATCTATCTATCTATCTATCTAATACTAAAATTCTGTGATTCGTGCTTGCGTGGTGCGTCGTCCGTCCGTCCGTCCGTCCGTCCGTCCGCCGCATAATTTAACTTTCTTTCCACCTCTCTTCCACAACTCTCTCTTTCTACCTCTCTCTTTCCAAATCCCTGTGATGGCGTCCGTGCTTGTGTGATGCGCCCGTCATACGCATACTGATTTAAGTTTTGAAAATGCGAGTTATTTATACAGTAAATATTTTTATTTTAACTTTCTTCAGACATTTTTTAATTAAAATCTTTTAAGTTAAAGACAGACAAAAGAGATTCCGTTTTGTTTTTTCCTTCTATTGTTTGTGGAGTAATTATATATACTTCAGATTTCTTTAAACGAACAATATTTTAAATATTTCAAAAGTTTTTTTTGCTATATTTATAAAGTATTTTCAAGTCAGTATGATTTTAAAATATTTTTTGCATAATAAAAATATGTTTAAGTTAATCTGATTTAAAAAAAAAATTAAGTGAATAAGATTTAAAAATACGAATTGTTTATACAGTATTTTTTTTTTATTTCAACTTTTTTCAAACAGAAAATTTTTTAATGTTTAAATCAACTTAAATGTCTGGACCGTTAGTGACTCAACGGGTCACGTGTAGTTTAAGATTTGAAAATGTTTCCAATACAGTTTGACTCAACCAATAAAGATAAGACATTGCTGGAAGTCAAAGCAGTTAGCTGTCATTATATTAAATGGAATTTCATTGGTTTCTTTTATTATGTTGGTGCAAAAATAATGAAGTAATAATGTCGTTTTTTGACGTATTTTTTAACGTCAAAAAACGACAATATTACGTCATTATTTTTGCACCAACCTAATACTTAAATCGGAAATAGCATTTGTTAAACTTTTCTGTTTACTACATTCTAAACCGGTTTCGTGTTTTCTTTATTGCTTCGCTTCTTGCTGAAATCTGTATCGGTGCTATTTGGAATGACTGTATTTTATTTCCGTTTCGGATCGCGGGCTTTCCCTTACTGTTCTACGATTTCGTGTGATTCTGCAGACAGAACAAAATGGCTCTTTTATATACCTCATTAGTTTAGCTTTAAACATGGCTCTTCTAATTCCCCATCCGCGACGTACATAGAAGTAGAACAGTTTGGGCGTAAACAGACGATGGAAGATATGAATAAAGATGGAGAAAAAAAAAAGCCTGAAAAATATCGCGTATTAAGAGGAGGAAGCGTGTTGGTAGGATTAGAGAAAAAAGAGAAAAGAATAACGCTTTCGCAAAGAAACGTGTTGAGATGTCTACAGGTAGAAAGTACAATGCAAAAATGACGCAAAAAATGGCGAAAGTGTAAAGATGAAATCTCGGAAATAATAAGAATGATGAGAGATAATCATTGATTGATTGATTCGTTTTTTACGGCTTATCAACCCTATCCAGAAAATATTTTTAGATTCTAATATTGTTTTTTGAAAAAAATAATAGTTTAATTATACCAGCCTTACTAATTAACCCGTAACTAGGGAGAGAAGAAATGGATTGATACCTTTCCCAATGGTATTTGCTTTTAAGTGAATTTAAAGAACCCGACGTAAATTGAAACTTGACACTTCCATTAAGAATTCCAAGCCTCTTGATACTTGTAACTTTCTGGAAGGTTACTGAACAAGGAATAACCAAAAAGGAGGTTGGAAATGAAATAGTAATCTTTATAACATCAACAAAATAAAATACTCGTCAGCGGTGTGAAGTAGATAAACCACTGCTAGTTGTGGACTACATAGATAGCATATTACCTACCACTTACAATAGTGTCCAACGTATTTGTGAGGATGGGGATATACCCATTAATGTTCATAGGTATTATATATAATAGATAGATAGATAGATAGATAGATAGATAGATAGATAGATATAGATAGATAGTGTTGTAAGCTAGAAAATGTTACTGAATGAGGAATAACCAAAAGGGATGTTTGAAATGAAATGGTAATCTTTATAACATCAACAAATTACAATACTCGCCAGCAGCGTGAAGTAGGTAAATCACTGCTAGTGATGGACTACTTAGACAGCATATTACGATAGTGTCCAGCGTATTTATTAGGATTGGGACATACCAATTAGTGTTCATAAGTACGGTATGTAACAATATTTTATTGCTATTTCAATGGAAATTTTTCAAACGAGCTACATTCTCTAGTTCCTCAAATATGGCTCTCTTGCCATAAATTGTTAGGATGCGTACATTGGAATCAGACTGAAAATGGAGCATTGATACAATATCTCGGCTCAAGCAAGCCAATCCTGATTTTCCAGCGTTGACTGAGTTGAAAAATTGTATTTGACTGTGTTCCACCATAGAACCTCTTTTCCACAGATGAAACGTCTCTAGACTTTCTCTACTCTATCGCTGTTTTTATGGTAAATGTTTAGGTAAGCTAAAGCCCTTAATCCAAACCGATCAAACCTTCCCAGATAGAACCCCGCAATAAAAGGTACGCAGGGCCGTTTTATTCTTTTCCTATTTCATTTGTAAAGAGGAAATCCATCGACATACATATTCTTCTCCAGAACTGTTACTTTTCGCAACAGATTGACGATGAAATCTACGTCGATTGCTACGGTATTAACCTCTCTAAATATAGGGTCAAGCATTATCTAGCCTACATATCCTCATATGTATTGTTACTTCTCTGCTTTGCTTTGTTTTATGATATATCAACCTGAATGGGTTATTTAATACTGACAAAATTTTTCTTGCTAGTAATATTTTTTTTTCAAATATGTATTGCTGCTAATATTTTTTTTTCTAAAATGCATTGCTTGTATTTTTTTTTTTTTAAATATTTTTGGTAATATTTCTTTTTTCAAAATATGTTGCTGGTAATATTTTTCCTTCAAAAATTCATCGCTGGTAAAATTTTTGCAAAAATGTATTGCTGGTATTAAAACCCACTTTAACACCTTCACAGTATTTTGACCCCCACTTTAGGGGGTGCGTCAGCCACGTGCCCATAGCTGGGACCCCAAGAGGCGCCACCACCCCAGGCCATGGTGTAAAACACCAGCGATTAAGAAGTGGTTCATCGCTCCTCAAAAATCTCCTGATCAGAAGTCTTGATGTTGGATTTAATTTATCATCATACACAGGACGCGGATATAGCTTGTCACCTTACACAGGACACGAATGTAGTTGATCGTCATATCCAGGACACGAATGTAGTCTATCGTCATACCCAAGACGCTGATGTAGTTTATCGCTCTTACACAGAAGGCGGATGTATTTAATCGTGATACCTAGGACGCGGATGTAGTTTTCGTCATACCCAAGACAGGTTACTTTTCTGCAACATCATTAAGCAAATTTCTACATCGTATAATTTTTCTTTATTCATCGGTTGAACAATAGTATAAAATGGCGACAAAGTCTCCTAGTTTATTTTCAGAAAAAAAAATTCTCGCTATGATAGGCGAAAATATTAACTGAATTTGCTTGAAATAAATACAATGTTTTCAGAGCGAATGCTAAAGTTAAGCCATGTCGAGCCTGGTCAGTACTTCATTGTATGATCTCTTGAAAATGCAAGGTGTTGTAAGCTTGCATGTACGTAGCTGTAAATAACCCGTGTTCCAATGTGATATGGCCGTAAAAAAAAACTTATATGTTTGTAATGCACTGAGGCACGGTGGAGTTATGGATAGCAGCTCTGATTGAGGAATCGGAGTGCCGGGTTCGAATTCCAGTCGTAATCCATTACATTCACTTATGTGCTAATACCGTTGGCTAGCTTATTAATGTATATTACATGTAAAGAAATACATTAATAAAAACAAATAGAGATAAGTTAAAACCAAGTAAACAAAAGCATTTAAATGCAAAAAAATTTAATCTGTATATATCAAAAAGTATTGGAATGTATTGCAGAATTATATGTATTTTGGGAGAACAAGTATTCCCAAAGAAAAAAACTTTGATCAAATTTGCATTTAGTATCCTAACTGATTCATATACAATAAATAAATAGGGTAAAGGAGGCACAGTGGAGTAATGGATAGTGGCTTGGATTGAGGAATCAGAGAGCTGAGTTCAAATTCCAGTTGAATCTGTTACATTCACTTATGTGCTAATACCATTGGGAAAGGTATAAATCCTCTTCTTTTCACTCCAACTGCGGGTAAAGAGCAGGACAGACCGGGTTCTATAGCCTTGGATGGCAACTAGTCTACCGCAGAAAGAAATGACAACCGACTGCAGGAAAAAAATCTGCCTCGTCAGTCATGTATCGAAAGATACATGATCGTCTACGCGTAAATCACGTATGATACATAACTGACTAAATGCACTAATACTAAATTAGTTTATTAAAACTTACATTTGACAATTTATTACTTTTATTTATTTATGAGATGTAATATTTGTTCATTTACTGATTCGGTAAACTTCTGTCAGGAGTTATATTTACATGAATCAGATTAGGCCAAAAAATAGAATATTGCTGCCATATAAAGCGGGATATGCTTATTCTTCACTATCTGGTCTTGACAGTTTTCTACTTCCTAAAGGAAGTCTTGTGGCTGGAACCTTATTATATAATCTGAACATAGTTTTTCCCAACACGCTGCGTTATAAGCCTATGACTACCCGATTGTTATTTCCATGGAAAAGGTTCAAGCGTGTTCGATTCTTGAGTTCCTCCAGTTCCGATCTCTAGAGCTAAGACCCTCTATTCTATATCCACGGAGGCAAGTCACTCCAATTCCGCCCGTATTTCAAATGTATTGAATATTTTTTTTAGAACAGACGCCTGATAAGTTAGTGCTTCCCTGAACAATAAAATGTTAATGTCTTCAAGTTAAGGGTAAATCCTTATTTATCCATTACCCTTCTTTATAATCATCACTCTTTCCGAAATCCTCTTCTTTTACAAGAGACAGATCAGGCCGAAAATGGAATATCGCTGAAATATATGGACGGGAACTGCTTAAGCTTCACTTTCCAGTCTCGATAGAGTTCAGAATCGACTCTGTATCCTAAGAGGCTACGAACTGTTTTCCTATCTGTAACTCTTTTCACACGCCTTGAGACGTCGC